TGTTATTAATAAATACTGTTAATAAATTTAGTAATTATTGTTATATTAAAAATAATTAAATATGTTATTAAAAGTATTGTTATTGATTATTTAGTAAAATATTACAATTACTGACTATTACGGATAAATACTGTTAATTTAATTTAATTTTGGTAATTATTAATTTAATGAATATTATTAACAAATCCTATTCATAAATTTAATATTTACTATTATATTAAAAATAACTAAATAATATTATTAAAACTATCATTAATGATTAATTAACTAAATAGTATAATTACTTACTATTATCGATAAATGTTGTTAATAACGTTCTGACAACCGACGATTCGACCATTCGGATCAAACGGATGGCCCGTTCTGACAACAAAAATTACAAGCAAAAAATTACGGAACCGTTCTGGCCATCGGTTTTTGGGTCGACGGTTCGATCATCCAGTTCGAACGAATGGTCCTTTTTGACAACAAAAATTATAGGCAAAAAATTGAGTTTGTGGGGTCCATTAAGTAGTATCATACATGTTATGTCATTCGAGCATGTTTCTCAAACGACCCGAAAATGAAACCGTTCTGGCCACCAGTCTTTGGGTCAATGGTTCGACCGTTTGGTTCGAATGACAACCCGTTCTGACGACAAAAAATTACAAGAAAAAAATTACGGAACCATTCTGGCCACCAGTTTTCGAGTCGACGGTTCGATGGTCCGGTTTGAACGGACAACCCATTCTAACAACAAAAATTATAGGCAAAAAATTGAGTGTGTGAGGTCAATTAAGCAGTATCATATGTGTTATGTCATTCGAGTGTGTGACTCATACGACCCAAAAATGGAACCGTTCAGGCCACCAGTTTTTGGGTTGACGGTCGAATCATTCAATTTGAATGGATGGCCCATTCTAACAACAAAATTTAAAAAAAAAACAGTCAAAAACCATTGAACGGGTCAATGGGTTAATGGTTCGAACACTCGGGTCAATGAGTTGTTGACCAATTCAACGGTTTTTGGCCAGGGATCGGGTTGGGGTAAAATGGAATTGGTTAGCTAGACGGTTCCCAATTAAAAAAATAAAAAAATGGATGACCCATTCTGATAAAAAAATTATAGGCAAAAAATTGAGTGTGTGAGGTTCATTAAACAGTACCATACGTGTTATGTCATTTGAGCGTGTGACTCATACAACCTGAAAACGGAATTGTTCTGGCCACCAGTTTTCGGGTCAACGGTTCGACTGTTCGACTGGAACGGATGGCCCGTTCTGACAACTAAAATTAAAAAAATTAAAAAAAAAAAGACCAAAAACCATTGAACGGGTCAATGGTTCGACCGCCTGGGTCAATGGGTCGTTGATCGATTCAACGATTTTTTGCTAGGGACCGAGATTAGGATAAAAAAATGGAACTGGTTGCCTGGATGGTTCCCAATTAAAAAAAAAACGGCCAAAAACCATTGAACGGGTTAACGGGTCGACAATTTGACCGCTCAGGTCAATGGGTCGTTGGCTGATTCAACGGTTTTTTGCCAGGGACTAGGTCAACGGGTCGACGGTTCCATTCTAGCCCCTACGAAGCAGGGCCCCTCCGCTAGTATTATATTTATAAATATATTATATATCATTTATTATTTATAATATAATATTATACATATATAATATATATTATAAATATAAAAAACTGAAAAACCGAATAACCAAATTAGTCAAAACCGAAACCGGCGGACCGGTTAATCGGTGGTACCGGTTTGGAGAAATTAAAAAACCGATACCACTAGTTCGGTTTACAAAAAAAAGGTCATGGTTCGGTTAACCGAACCGTGGACACCCCTACTTAGAGTTAGAGATACATTTTGGGCGGGTTGGGTGGGTTTTAAGGTCAACCTAGGCCCCTGAGTTTTGGGCATAAAGCCCAATTTTGGACCAAACCTGATGTTATGCCTCATTTGCCAGCCTAAACTAAAACTTAACAAACTTGGGTTGGGCACCGGTCAGAGCTGCGTTTGGGTTGATCAGGCAAGTTTTCGGGCCCAAATTATTGAATGGATGCATATATGGATATGTATAAATGTATGTGTGGATGGATGGATGGATGGTTAAACGAGTTGCCTACCTAGCTAGCTTCCTTGCTTTCATTCTTCCTGTCCATCTCACTCGCAGACGGAGAGAGCTAACTCTTCTTCAAGGCGCGGTGAGTATGTCTGTGGCGCCTCCTTTTGGACCCTTCAGATGAACTGGTGGCTTTCCACCAGAGGCTAGTTTAGTTTTTGGTCAGGAACCTGGTTAGGAACTTGACTAGGAACCCGAACAGGAGCCGAGTTAAGGTTCAGCCCAACGTTCTGTCATTGTTGTGGCCATTGTTGCTGTGTTCGCTGGTTCTATTGTTGAGCCTGCTACTAGTGCCCCTATAAGGGTGGCAAACTTATCTTCCCAGGCCCTCATTTGATTGCTCTAAAGGGAAGGGAGATCCATCGTATGGATGGCCAAACCATGCAAGGTGGTTGGGCGAAATTTCAAAAATTTTCTTTCTCCCTTCTAGGAATCTTATTCCCTGATTTAGAAAAACTGAATTTTTCAAGGTTCGTTCTTGAAACAAACTGGACCAAATCTGAAACGAAGATTAAAGGAGGGATATACCTAATACAGAATCAACAGTAGTTCCCAACGCAGGTATTCATGCCCAAAGAGTTCACCAAATCCGTCATCCACTGAAGATGACACAGCTTAGGGCGAGGCAGGATCAGCAAAGAGATTCTTCAGTAAGAACCCCAATTCTTCAGCAAGAATTACGCAGAGATGTGAGCACAACTTCAAGATTGTTTCTTCCAACAATAAACAATATCAAGATCCAAACTTGATTACTTCCAAGAACTGGAGATCAAACAGGACGGGGGCGGCAAGAGCAAAGGGAGAAAAAACGACAAAAGAAGAATTCACCTACTGTGGAATTTGCCCCCTTATTTATAACCCTTTTAGGATCAGCTTCCTAATCCAATTAGGAAGGAGTTTCTTGATCCAAATCTGTATTTGGACCTAGACTCTTAAGTGGATAAGACTTATCATATCCTGTAATTGATCTTAATCAGATTATAAACCCAAATTCGCCCCTTTTAATTTATCTCATTAAACCCAGATCAAATTGGACTTTAAACCCATTAAGCTTTCAGGCTCACTTCCTTTTAATTGCTGGCTAGCTTGGTTATTTTTCTATGGCATGGGACCTTAACATTGATTTCCACAAAAGCCATATGGGTTTAGCCTAGCTTCTGTTACAAGGCCTGGCCAAATTCACTGCTGAAGACAGTGAACCCCTGAGCCCATCAATATGGGCTCTTAGCACGCCCAACATTTACACTAAATAGTCCCTAAGTTCAGCCACCTTAACAAGGCCCAAGGACTATGGACTTAAGTGAGATTAGCCCATCGGTAAAAGCCCTAAATTGTCTTACACTTTACCTCTCAACCCATAATGATCAAACACTGTCCGACAAGAGAGGACCTCTCCCTCGATTGTAAGGTACAGTGTTGCACTCTCCGCTCACATGGATCCCGGGAATTAAAACCTTTTTGCAAACATTTAGTGAAACCATAATATATGTATATCTCTATATAAATATATTTTGCAAAAATAAATCTCAACAAGTTTGAAATCAATTGCCGGCAGTTTAGGTTTCCATCAGAGAGAGTGCA